ACAAGAAATGACAAAAAAATACAAGACAAAAAAAAAAAAATAAGAAAGAAGTCAGGAAACACAAAAATATAAAAAAAAAAAAAAAAATTGATCGAAAAGTGGACACACAATTATACATCACTTTAATACTTTAAATTTACAAACACATTCTAATTAAATATGAATAATAATTAAGTAAATAACTTTCTTTTAAGGGGGATAATCTTATCATTGATCTTAAAGTGATTTTGAGAAAATTAAATAAAACTCAGATTCCGATAGTGATAGGCCCACTTCTGACTTTCTTTCACCAAGAGAGGATAACCTCATAAGATAACAGATTCGTTTTAAATGTTTAGTGGTGGTTCTTTTTTTTTTCCTTTTTTTTTTTTTTTTTAATTAAAATATTCAAATAAAATTTGCACCGATTTTATTTTTTTTTTTTTTTTTTTTTTTTTTTTTTTTTTTTTTTTTTTTGGGGGGGGGGGTATCACTAATTAAATTTCTTATAAAGTGCGTTACTTGAATGTATGTTCTGTGAAATTTTCATCCCCACCCATATTGCTCGATACTAAATTAAATTTTTATTGAGGATTTAGAGGTTGTTCAATTTTTCAAAAGTTATTTCAAAGTTTGGGAGAAAAAAATATAGATGTCGACTGTTTCCTAACATAGAAAGTGGAATTTATGCATGGCTACATAACTCATTGCATTGCTATACTGTAAAAATATATTATACACGCTACCATTTCTCTTGATTATCTACATTTCATCCAATCAAGCAATGCCAACAAAATCCAAGACCGAATAAAAATAATAAGAAAGAAGTCAGGACACACAAATATCTAAAAAAAAAAAAAAAAATTAATCGAAAAGTGGAAAAACAATTATACATAAATTTAATACTTTAAATTTACAAACACATTTTAATTAAATATGAATAATAATTAAATAAATAAAATGGGAAAAGCAGAAGATTTTAAAGAAATGTTCTATACAGGGACGTCATTTGGGTAGGGCAGGGTGGGGCATTTGTAAACACCTCCCCCCCTCCCCCTCCCCCCCCCTTTCCATCTGAAGTTGCAGGTTTTATTTAAATTGATATGTAGGCCTACTGTGGCGCCTCCAGTAATAAACAACTTCACAAGCCGACAAAATGTTGCCCCCGCCCCTGAAAAAACCTGAATTGACACCCCTGGTTATATATATCAGAATGAGGAATACCACTAAAGGGAACTGTCACAGATATGACATAATGAATACAAGGGAGTTGACGATCAAACATGACGCAGACAATAGACAAAGCTCGGTGGAGTAGAAATCTCACCATGCAGTAGTAAATAAATAGCGGAACAAGATAAGTATGCTAGGCTTGAACAAAAAAAGTACGCTTTGAATAAATGTCTTCTTCAGCAAACAATGACAAAATAAGAAATAACAAATTATTTGAAATTAAAAACTTGAGTGTTCCCAGACCACAATGGAGCTCTCTCATATCGCGGTTTAGCTCTTTCGGATCACAATGCAGCTCTCTCATATCGCGGTTTAGCTCTCTCGGATCACAATGCCGCTCTCTCATATCGCGGTTTAGCTCTCTCGGAACACATTGCCGCTCTCTCATATCGCGGTTTAGCTCTCTCGGAACACAATGCCGCTCTCTCATATCGCGGTTTAGCTCTCTCGGAACACAATGCCGCTCTTTCAGTCTCTGTGTAGAAATAAAAGCGACCCTTTGTCCGTGTTTAAATCACCAGTCTTCGTATAAAATATAAATTAATGAAAAAAAATGTTTATACTGTTAGAATGGCGTACACGCTATCAGGCTTTATTTTCAAATGTATTTTGTACAAATCCAATATGTTGGCATTGCAGTACAGTCGTCTTTGTCTCGTGTAACAGATGATTCATTAAAAAAAATCCTTTATATTAACTTCGCTTTTTTTTTCTTTCGTGTGTTTCTTTCTTGAATATTTTGCAAAATCTTCAGAAGGCAAATAGACTCACCTCTCGTCAATCAATAGAGATGAAACTGAGCATATAGATTCGTTTCCTATGACAAAAAATTATTTTGCAAATTTCTTTTTGAAATTCTTTTCAAATTTACAGCCCCACGACCAACCCCCCAAAAAATCAGTCTTAACGCTACCAGATGTCACAGATTTCACAAAATAAAAATCCCGATAACTGCACCAAAAGAGTTTCTTAAAAATGCCGCAAGTG